AATCGTTACTGGTAAATATTATTCTTAATTATTGTTCTTAATTATTTGTAAATATTGTTCTCTAATTATTGATCGGCCTAATTTCCTACGATTTCTTGACGGCAGTATTGCTACAGACTGAAATCTTGAGGAGAAGACAGTGATTGAAAATGGTAAGCAGACAAAATAGGACAGAAGTGGTGTGAAGTAATAGGAAAATGCGGTTAACAAAACGGCGTCGTGTTGGTTGACGATTCAAATTCTTAACATTTGGTATGAACAGTGCCTCCCCAACTGGCTCTTTTATTTTGTTAAGGAAAGCCAATTATTCATTCACATTTTAATGGACATTGGCACCCCCAATAAAAGCAGAGATGGCACTGAGACCCAAAAAAGGTGTGTGCTGCTCAGAAAAAAGGAAAAAAAATCAACGAAGTTTCCTTCATATCGTTCCTAACTAAACTATACGAATGCCTCAACCTCAAGAGATGGTGTCTGCAATCCAATATGACAGATACAAAAATCTGGAATGTTATATATGTATGGTAAAATATAGGAGAATCAAAGTAAATAATCAAACTGAAGGCCCGTGATTACACGGTTTCCTTAAATCGAATTCGCCGCCTCACCGGAGTGCACGAGATTTTGATCGATGTTCGATTCCCAGGATACAATCGATCGTCAGTTCTCACTGCACTACGTTAACTGCCTACAAACTAGCTGTAACTTCTTCTATCTCTCAAAAATTTTAGCAAAGGAATAACATGAATAAAAACACAAGCTGCTGGAAATGGATGAGGTAACGGGATTTCTTTTTCTCTTGTTGTGTTTGCTGGTTTTGTTTTTTTTTTTTTTGTTTTTTGTTATGTTCCTCCAACAGTGAGCTCTTCTATTTATACACATGGATGAGGAGGGTGGTTATTAATACAATTGAAGACTGATTTACATAAATTCCTGAAACTGAAGATGTAATGGCATCGAAATTGAAGACGAAGGGAAACTGAAGGCTGCTGATTTTCTGAAGAAATAAACTGATTTTCATTCAATTTCCAACAATCCTCTACATGAATGAAATATGGAATACGAGAGAAAGATAGAGTATAGTGAATCAATCCTGCATAGGATAGGTACCATTTAGCTTTGAACCTTCCCTTGTGAAAATCTAGTGAGTATTACTAGCAAACCAGTGGATCTGATGCCTTGAACTGTTTCGCCATTTGTGTAAACCAAGACAATAGACCTCACACA